CACCGGGGGGCGTAGGAGTGAGTAGCAGCCTTCGCGATGGGGACTGGGGAAGAAGAACAGTCAGATGGGCAGGTGTCCAAGGTAAATAGTCAATCACCTGCATGGCTTACAACAACTTTGAAGTTGGAAGCCAGCATGCGGCTCCCCAATCTGTTCGGATGGAGCCCGTCTGGTCCGTAAAAAGAGGGGCGCTCCCAGAACAGATCGAAGTTGTGGATAAAACCAATATTGTGCATTGCGCAGGCAAATTGGAGCCAGGTATGGAGATGGAGAATCCTGCTAAAACGATCGGCGCCACGACCCCATGTGGGGAGTGGACCAGAGATAAAAACAGATTTCCCACACCTGTTTAGAAAATTAAAAAGCTGGATAAAATGGGCTTTTGTCAGCTCCGATTGCTGGAGGGCAGTGTCATTCGAACCACAGTGAATGATCACTTTTTTAATTGTGGCGGGGGCTGACTCAAGGAGTCCAGGAAGTTTTTCCAGGATATCGGGGGTCGTAGCTCCAGGAAAGCAGTGTGTGACCGCGTTTGCGAACCGGATGCGTCCGACAATTGAATTGCCAATGATCAGAGCAGTTTGGGGGAAAAACGGTGCAGGTGACGGATTAATGGGAGTGAGAAAAGGGACAGGAGCAGCAGGAGCAGCAATAGTAGCGGAAGATGGGACCTCAGCTGCGGCCGCAGGGGCTCCTGAAACGGGGCTGTAATCCAACCCTGGTGGCTGAGGACGGGGGAGACCACCAGACCTCCTGTTCACAGCCTCCACAAGCAGTCTACGGCGGAAAGAGGAGGACGATCTCCCACGCTGTCTGATCAACACAGAGGGGGTGGTGGCATCAGATGCAGCCACCGGGGAAGCCGGATGTTCACCACGAACCACATCCGTCCCGTACGTCAGGTGTGAAGGACGATTTGCTGGAGAGTTGGGGCCTGAAGCCTTGGGCCTGGCTCCAGTCCTGGACCACACAGCAGCTGCAGGTGGAAGCACCATCGTCACAGCTGCCGCCGGAGGAGCCGGCGCGTCTGCAGGTGGAGGGGCCGCCGTCGCCACGTCCAGCCCCGTAGTAGGAGTAGTAGTAGGAGCGCCGACAACAGAAACAGCATCGGCCATGGGGACATCAGCAGGGTGAGCAGGGACGTCAGGTGGCAGTGTGGCAAAGCGATTGGTGATCTGAAGAGACGGAGGCGAGGTGGCGCAGGGGCTTCCACTTTTACCTTTACCCACTACCACTGACCAGGAGGCCTGTGAGCTGGGGGTTGAGCATGAGGAGGGCCGGTGGCATAATGAAGGAGGGTCCCAGAGGATGGTGTCGGCCATGGCTGAATCCATGGTGGAGATGATTTTAGACTGCGTGGCTGCGTTGTCAATGAAGTCTGTGAGAAGAGACTCTTTTTTTCCGCAGATCGTCCGAGAGACGTCTGATGTCTGCTTTGAGGTGAGTAATGTACCTTTCCGCTTTCCGGCAGTCCTCGCAAGGGGTGGTGGAGAAAGGTGGGGTACGCGGTGTCGTGGTTGGAGCAGTTTTCCAACAGCTCAGCTGAGAGCCCTCGGTGCGCCGTGTAGCCGTGTCGGCCATCTTTTTAACACTCTGGAGGATTACACATAGGAGTACTCTGAAGGGTATCACCCTCATCAGATTCTATATCAGTTGGCACTGATTGGCCATCAGTGTTTGTATGCACAACCTCATTCTTAAAATCTGTGATGTCACCATTTGGATGACTCCTACATCTGTGTGCATTGAATGAATAATAGACATTAGTCCGGTATTGACCATTTCTGAACGGACATTCTATCATCTCATGTTTTTTTAAATGTGATCTTAAATGACTAAGGAGTGCTTTTTCATT